GTTTCTACACACACACACACACACACACACACCCTGCATCTCTTTTAAAAAATGAAACAAGCCCTAAAATTGTACATAATATAAGACAAACAGTTTCAGCTTACTTAAATTTTAGTGTGAAGGGTGAGGTTTAGCTAGGGATAGGATGAGATCTATTTTTTTTAAATGGTGGCTTTTAAAACTTCTTTATTTAAAATTCGTACCGTCAGATATAATCTGTATGCTCATAGTTTCAAACATACACGCCCCACCGATTCTTTGTTACCCCTTTTAAAGGAGCGCGTCCCACAATTTGCAACCACGGTACTAGACAAACGTCACACTTAGACGACCACTAACATATTTTGGCAATAACGTCAATTCTCAAAGTATTTCTCGTTTGTAATTTTTGATATAAATGTTCTCATAGATGTATTTTTTTAATTTTATTTTTTACTATGAAAATATAATGTATTTTCGCTAATCTGAAATTAAAAACTTGTAATTCTCTCTCTTATGACTGATCTGAAATTTCACGTTTATAAAACTCTTCAATTTATCTTTGTTTCTTTAAGTGTTCTTAATTTTATCAGTTCAGTTTATTACTCCAAAATATGATGAAATTGTATAAAAAATTAAAGGAATTCATGGGAATTCAGCTCTAGCAGTACAAGAGATTTGAGTTTCGCGAGTAGAAAGGTTCAGCTTCAGCAGAACAAGAGATTCGAGCTTCGCGAATAGAAAGGTTCAGCTCCAGCAGAACAAGAGATTGAGTTTTGCGAGTAGAAAGGTTCAGCTTCAGCAGAACAAGAGATTTGAGTTTTGCGAGTAGAAAGGTTCAGCTTCAGCAGAACAAGAGATTCGAGCTTCGCGAATAGAAAGGTTCAGCTCTAGCAGAACAAGAGATTCGAGTTTCGCGAGAAGAAACGGTAGTGTCTATTCAAGCCCTTCAACTTACAGTGACCTCGAGCCACAATAAAAATAAACGGAATGTCTAGGCTTAAGTGCTTATGAACCACAGTATGTCACACACACACTTTAAAAAGTTACTATCCTTAACCACGCAACCACGAATATGGCAACAGCTTTATCAAATTATGCAT